GAGTGGAATGAGACAGGCTGGGCTGGCAGAGATGGGAGTGGTCTGAGTGATGGAGGGGGCTTGAGACCATGAGGATTCCAGGAGGGCCGGCCGAGGCCAAGAGGGCAGAGGAGTGAGAAGCCGGAGGCAGGGCACCACCAGGCAGTGATAGGGTGCCCCTGTCCAGTGCCCTTGTAGAGCTGAAGGCTAAATAACAGACTGCTAACGACAGGTCTGTATTTCCAACCTTCCAGCCTCTCCTGGGGAGAACAGTGAGGCTGTCGGCCCCTGTGGAGACTGACGGTGGTAGAACTCTTTATAGGGTTACAGGCACTTAGGGTTCACTTGGTGGGTATGGGTTTGGGTTCAGGGTTTTGTGTTGAGGGCATATGTGGTAGAGGCTATACTCACATATGAGGGGGTCCCCTCCAGGGGGGGAATGGAAAAAAACTCCGCTGGGCAGAGTTTTCTTAGTATGCTTTTTCCCCCGCTTGGTGAATATCAAGCAACTCAATCTGAGTGCACCCAGTGGCATTCCCTGGGAAGGTTCTCTCTGGTCACATTGAATTTTTTTCATAAAAGCAGTTTCGCTGGAACCTCGTTTTTTTGTGATGGTCGATTTAAGAGAACAGTGTGCAGATGTGAAAGTTTGTTTCCTGCTCTGGAAAAATGCTGCAGAAACTGTTGTAATGTTGAACGCAGCTTACAAGGACAGCGCTATGGGAAAAACTCAAGTGTACAAATAGTTTTCTCATTTCAAAAATGGTGACATGCCAATTGATGACCAACCTTGTTCTGGACACACACCCACTTCCCAAACAGTCGAAAATGTTAACTTGTGCATTTGGAGTTTGTTCCACCTGGACAGACTGTTCACCAAGCTTTTCTATTTAGAGGTTCTGAAAAGATTGCGCAACAGTGCGCAACACAAAAGGCCTGATTTGTGGTAAATGGGGGACTGGTTTTGCTACCACGACAATGTACCTGCTCATGCAACCATCTCAGCGCACCAGATGTTGACATAGACCAGCATGCCACTCTAGCCCTGTGCACCTGACTTCACTCTGTGCACCTTCTTCTGTTTCCACGAATGAAGAGGGACGTGAAGGGGAAGCGATTTGGTGACTTGGAAGAGGTGACGGGGAACACGAGAGAGGTGCTGTCAGCCGTCCACACAGATGAGTTTGAAAAACGTTTCAAGAACGGAATTGCAGAGTTGACAAATGTACTATGTGTAACGGAGAGCACTTTGAAGGTGAAAAGATTGTTTTGTTAAAAACGTAAATATATAACTCTGTAAAACATTCTGCCTGTTTTTAGGTACCCCCTCATACATACCTATGCTGAGGGCACACGTGGTAGAGGATGTACTCACATGTACGTGCCTGTGCTGAGGGCACACGTGGTAGAGGATGTACTCACATGTACGTGCCTGTGCTGAGGGCACGTGGTAGAGGATGTACTCACATGTACGTGCCTGTGCTGAGGGCACGCG